CTAAGGCCAGGGTTTGTATATTTAACTGATTGATTCCACAGCCCTTGTCATCCAAAACCACTCTGGGTCCTGATAACAAGGCTGAAATGTGTGTATTTCATGTTACCATGAGGTAATTGGAGTTCTGAGAGGTGAGATGACTTGCCCAAGGTCACACAGCAAGGCAGTGGTAGAGGTGGGGTTTGGGGAGTTCTTTTGGACTCCAAATCAAGGCTTTTAAAAAACATGTTCTGCATCCTCCGAGCCTTTGTCCCGACTCACTTCATTTACTCTCTTTTGTGCATTCACGTATCCGCTTTATTATTTATTGGCACCCTCTTTGCACAGGCCTGTACAAGACACTGGGGATGTAGAAATTAGAAGGATATGATCCCCGCCCACAGAGAGCTCAGGAGCAGAAGAGACAGCCAGGAAAGCAAATGGAGGCTTTGGGCGGCCTCTGAAGGGTGCTGGGGAATATCAAGGAGGGAGAATGACTCTGCCCAGGGTAGTTGAGGAAGATTTCACAGAGGAGGCAGAGCCCTTTGAATCAAACCCTTGATGGGTAAAGAGAGTTCACCTTGTGCAGAGAAAGGAAAAGCTCAACGTGACAGAGAGCCAAGGGGGGTGTTTGGATGAGTGAGAGATGGGGTGATAAGACCAGCTGGAGGAGACTTTGGCTGCCAGGCCGGACCTCAGACTTGATTCTGAAGTCACTGGGGAGCCCCTGAGGGTTTTGAGCAGGGGAGTTCTGTGGCCAGGATTCTGAAGGAAGGTATCTCTGGAAGTGGTGTCCAAAGACCTGGAGTCCTTTTAAGAATCCATTGAATCCGATGCATGGAAAATTGATGGCCCCTCCCACCCTCAATCGCATTATGGCTTTCGGTTCACTTAGACCCTAGGAACTTTTTTTAACCATCTGTCATAGTCTTTGTCTCACCTGCTAAAGAGAGCAGTCTGCTTCTGTCTTCTCAGCCCATATCTCAACTCTCACCATGGTGAAGGGGCTACAAAGGGGCTTGGAATAAAGGTGTGTGAATGGAGGGGTTGAAGCTGTCTATAGGGGGGATAGGCAAAGGGATCCAGGAGGTGAGAACCCCAGGTATTCTTGGTCTTGGCCTTCCCCACCTCTCTGGGCCTGGGCCAGTTCAAGCATCTCAGCTTCCTACACTGCCCGCCCCTTGTTTGCCGCACTCAACTTCCTGCCCTACCAGAGGAAGTGGGGAGTGATAGCAGGTGCAGGAACAGCTAGCAGAGCCATGGTGAGTCCTTACGCCCAGGAACCCAGGCATCTCAACCCCTAGCCCCCTACCCCTAGGGTCCCCAGACCCAGCTCGACCCACAGTAGGCTGATTTTTTTCCTAGCCCCTGAGCTCAGGTGATACTGCAGGCCCTGCGTGCCACTCCCAACAGCCTCACATTGTGCACCCTCAACAGGACAAGGAGTACGTGGGTTTTGCCGCCCTCCCCAACCAGCTGCACCGCAAGTCTGTCAAGAAGGGGTTTGACTTCACACTCATGGTGGCAGGTCTGGGGGGTTGGGAGAGGGAACTGGGGAGGGTGGTGTCCTCAAGAGACCCTGGCTGTCCCCCCACCTGACCAGGTGGGACTGTTCTGTCCACAGGGGAGTCAGGCCTGGGGAAATCCACCCTCATCAACAGCCTGTTCCTCACCAATCTCTATGAGGATCGGCAGGTGCCAGAGGCCAGTGGTAAGACCCTCCCCACCCTCTCCAGGCAGTGCCTTCTGTCCCCTTCCCGTATCCCCCAGGTTGCACAATTTTCCTCTCCCTCCGGGGACTTAGGCGGCTCACTGCTTTTCTCTGAGATGGTTTCTTCCACTGAAAAATGGGTGGGGGCAACTGTGATACTGAGAAAGGAAACGAGTCCTGCCTCAGACCCCTCCCCAGCTCCCTGACCTCTCCCTGTCCCCATAGCTCGCTTGACACAAACGCTGACCATTGAGCGCCGGGGTGTAGAGATTGAGGAGGGGGGTATTAAGGTGAAGCTGACGCTGGTGGACACGCCTGGCTTTGGGGACTCAGTGGACTGCTCGGACTGGTGAGGAGGAGGGGCGGGGACAGGGGCTAAGCCTCTCAAAGTAGCTACTCTGTGGACACCAAGGGGTCAGTTACAGAGGTGGTCTGTCCTGGCTCCCTGATTCCAAAGGTGGTGCCCACTGCTGGGGGCCCTGTACATCCTGATGTCTCATCTACACCCCTGCCTGTTTCCCATGATGTCTCTGGTTGTAGCCAAAGAAACTACTTCCTGCTCCCACAGTCCTGGCTAGGCTTGTCCCCTGTGGCCTCTGATCTGTGACTGCAGGTCCTCCCCTCACACCCCAGCTGGCTGCCGGTGGTACACTTCATCGAGGAGCAATTCGAGCAGTATCTGCGGGATGAGAGTGGCCTGAACCGGAAGAACATCCAGGATACCCGAGTCCACTGCTGCCTCTACTTCATCTCACCCTTCGGCCGGGGGTCTGGGGGGAGCACCCTGGGGGGTGGGGCATTTGGGAAGAGCTGGGGGTCTCTGTGCCCCAGGGCTGGGCCCTGACCAATCCCTGGGCACAGGCTCCGGCCCCTAGATGTGGCCTTCCTCCGCGCGGTGCACGAGAAAGTCAACATCATCCCAGTGATTGGCAAAGCGGATGCCCTGACGCCTAAGGAAACACAGGCCCTCAAGCAGAAGGTGAGGGTGGTGACCTTTGGCCCCAAGTGAAGCCAAAAGTCATGACTAAACCTGATCTCAGCTTTGACTTCTTTGATCTTGGGGTGGCCTTTCTGCAGTGTGATGTGTCAGGCAAGCCTGTGGGAGAAAGTTTCTGAGGAAGGTGGGCAGTAAACTGCCAGAAGTAGTCATGCCTCTGCAGCCTCGGAGAAGGAGGCATATGCAGCCCCTGGGCTAGATGCTTGGCTAAGGCCTGTCTGAGGGCAGGGGCATAGACAGGATGACCTCCACCATTCTTCTGGCCCCAGGATGCTGATCACCCCCCACCCTGCTGTCCTCAGAGCCTCTCCCCACTGTTTCTGATCTGTCTCTCTCTTCTGGTCTCCTCGTGTCTGCCCATCTTAGAATCTTGTCTCAGTGTCTCATCATCTATGTCTGTGAGACTCTTTTTGGTCATCCTGTATGTCCATCTCTTACCATCTTGTCTTTTGTGCCGCTCTGCATCTCACTGTCTCTGGCCATGCCATGCTTGTGTGGCTCATGGCCTCTGTGTCATGGACACTGTCTCCACATCTGTCTCCTCTGAGATCCGGGACCAGCTGAAGGAGGAGGAGATCAACATCTACCAGTTCCCTGAATGTGACTCTGACGAGGATGAAGATTTCAAGAGGCAGGATGCAGAGATGAAGGTGCCAGAGGCAAAGGAGGAAGGGGAGGAGGGGAGGTGGATGCGGAGGTTGAAGCTGAGAAAGAGGTTTCTGCTCACAAGGGGCCAACGTGACCCCTGCCCCCTGCCCTCTAGGGAAGCATCCCTTTCGCAGTAGTCGGTTCAAGCGAGGTGGTGAGGGATGGCGGAACCCGACCCGTGAGGGGACGCTGCTACTCCTGGGGTACCGTGGAGGGTGAGTAAGGCCAGGCATGCGTCCTGAGGCCAGCAGTGAGCCTAGGCCGTCTCCGAGCCAACCGCACCCAACGTGTGAATTTGGGGTAGGCTCTGGTCCCGGGAGTCCTAGGAACCAAACGAGGGGTAACTGGGCTGCCGTGGCAGCGGGACTGTCAGCCGACCCGACCCTGGGGTGGGATTAAACCTGAAGCTCCCTGATGCTCGCTTCTCCGCCCCCCAGTGGAAAACCCACATCACTGCGATTTCCTGAACCTGCGACGGATGCTGGTGCAGACACACCTGCAGGACCTGAAAGAAGTGACGCACGATCTGCTCTACGAGGGCTACCGGGCCCGCTGCCTACAGAGCCTGGCCCGGCCAGGGGCTCGCGATCGAGCCAGCCGCAGGTGAGAGCAGGAACCAACTACTTGGTGCTTCCAGAACCCCATTCCCCACCATGACCTCGTCTCCCAGGCCCGTCCTCATCACCCATGACCCCGCCTCCACCGCCTAGACCTCTCTCCCAGACTTTGTGCACCCGTTTTACCTCCGACCCTAACCTTACGAAAGTGGCTCCTCTTCCTACACCCCAACCTCGCCCCAGGCCTTGCCTCCGGGCTCTGCCCCACACCTCGAGCCCCGCTCCTGATTCCTATTTTACCTCCGACCCTAACCTTACGAAAGTGGCTCCTCTTCCTACACCCCGACCTCGCCCCAGGCCTTGCCTCCGGGCTCTGCCCCACACCTCGAGCCCCGCTCCTGATTCCTGTCTCCTTCCAATACCCCCAGTAAGCTTTCCCGCCAGAGCGCCACAGAGATCCCACTGCCCATGCTGCCTCTGGCCGAGACGGAGAAGCTGATCCGCGAGAAAGACGAAGAGGTGAGCGTGCACCTCGCTTCCCCCCGCGACTAAGGCCCCAGGTCCTCTACGAGGTCCTTGTCTGGCCTCGCCCGGTCACACCGCCTGCAATCTTTCCCCGCACAGCTGCGTCGCATGCAAGAGATGCTGGAGAAGATGCAGGCCCAGATGCAGCAGAGCCAGGCTGAGGGGGAGCAATCGGACGCTCTCTGAGGCCCCCGCCCCGGCCTTACCTCGGCTCCTCCTTCATTCCATCACTGTCCAATCCCCGGGCTCAGACCGCCCAGCGCCTGATCCTGGAGCCCCAGACGGTTGGCCGCCGCCGCACTGGCTCCGGGCAGGTTCTCCGACTAAGCGCTTGGGCGCGGTCCAGGTGTTTGCAGCCTCGCCCTTGGCCCCGCCCCCAACCCCGCCCCTCAGCGCCCCTCTCCCTCTTCCGGCATCGCCCCTCTTCACCCAAGCTCTGTCCTCAATAAAAACCGAGCTTCCCTGAGGCCACGCGAGTCTTCTTCCACGCAGGCCACACCATCCGTTCATCCGTTGGGCACTCCCCTCGGGCCGGCAGAGTTTCCGCCCAGCCTCCCACACAAACCACGGAAGGCGCCGCCGATAAGAAACAAAGACCAGCTGAATTTTATTGGGAGTCGGGGTAGGGGTCAGACTGGCTGTAAGCGTTGGCTGGCAGAGGCCCACGAGGGTTCTCTACTCCTGGTCCTTGGCGTCTCCATGCGTAATGACGTAGCAGATGTTCTTGTAGTCTACGTTGCCGCCCACGTCGGGGGGGAAGGCCGCCCACATGTTCTTGATCTAGGGGGAGACGCAGGGACATCTCCTACCGCTCCTTAAGCTCCTCCTCCCCAGTCCATTCGCCACTCCCGGCCCCTCTACGACTCACCTCCTCCTGGGAGAAGCGGTCACACTGCGTGGTAAGCAGCTCCTCCAGGCTGAAACAGGTGACACACGGAGAGTTGAGACTGGGTTCGTGATTCCTTTCCACTCCCTCCCATCTCATCCCCGTCGCCACCCCAGTCTTCCCTGAAAACCCGGGCCACCCTAGATACCTCATGGGCCTCCTAAACACTCTGGTCTCCCCGCTTTTTTTTTGCTGAGAAGATGTAGCTCATTTCCACAGTCCTACTTTCTCTGACAGTGCCTAACCCTTGGTAGGAACTTAAGGAGGCTTTCTGTGTGGGAGTAGCTGAAAGGAGCCACTTACAACTTCTTCTTGATGGTGCCCTTCCCCTCGGGGTCCAGGACCTTGAAGGCTCCAGTGATCACATCCTCAGGGTCAGCACCTGGGGGGTCAGAGGGCACATCAAGCTGAAGGGTCTGTCTCTGAAGGGTCTGTGAAGAGGCAGCTGGAAGCTTGGATCCGGGACGCTGCACTCACCCTTGAGTTTCTCCCCGAACATGGTCAGGAAGACAGTGAAGTTGATGGGACCGCTGGCCTCCTTCATCATGGCATCGAGCTCCTCATTCTTCACATTGAGGCGGCCTGGAGGGGGATTTGGGGGGAGCATGGGCTGGAGCAGGGTCCTGGGGTCAGGTCTGTGCTTCCTATAAATTCATATCATCCCACCCACTTCTCAGCTGGGTAGACTGAGGCCCAAGGTTGAGCTGACAGGGCTGGAATCTAAAGCCACTGAATTCCCCGGACTCTGCAGCCTTGCATATTTATGAGTGGGTGAGGGGCTCACCCATGGCTGCGAAAGTGTCCCGAAGGTCCTCTTTGTCAATAATGCCATCACGGTTCTGGTCGATTACGGTGAAGGCCTGTGGAGGACAGGGGTGGAGTGGGGGTAGGTCCCCCATGGCCAAGCTTCAGCATCCCTACCCCCAGCCAGATCAGATTCTGGCCCCCAGCCAGCTGTTCTCTTCCACCCCAAGCAGGGAGGGGAGGAAGGAATTCTAAACCTTCTCCCTCCCCCTAAACAGGTGCACATTCCAGAGAGTGGGGTGCAAGAGGCAGCAGGGAGTGCCTTTGGTCAGTCTTCAGTCTCCCCCATCCCCTCACCTCCTTGAACTCCTGGATCTGAGTCTGGTCGAACATGGAGAAGACATTGGAGCTTCCGCCCTCTGCTGCCCTTCTCTTGGCCCTCTTGGGTGCCTGGTGGGGGTGGGTGGGTGGGTTAATGTTATGCAAAGGGGTCCATGGGCCAGTCCCTACACCTCTCTGGGGGCAGTGATTAGATTCAGGATTTTTTGGGTCCCTTCTAAAGCAACTCTTCTGGCCTGGACCTCCCCTTCTTTGGGACATCTTTGCTGAGAGGGCTTGCTTTGAGGGGCTTGCTTTGGTTGCATCTCCCAAATTCCCATCTGTAGCTCCCCAGTCCCCATCCCTCCATCCCACCCAACAGGTAGAAGCTTCCTTCTCTTCTCAGTACTCCGAGTCTGCCTCCTCTGAGCCCCAGACTTGCTGTTTGATCCTGATCCATTCATTTACCCTGTCTGAACTTCTACTTTCTCATTTATAAAACAGGAATGAGAATCCTTGTCTGGAGTGTCCCAGAGGACTTTAGGAAGTGGAGTACAGGAAGGGATGGAGCAGGCTTTGAGAGGGACTAGACCTCTGTGAGTGGAGTATCTGGGCTGATTATGCTTGGTTGGGTCCTTTAGGCCATCTCAGTCTGTCTGTTCCCCATTAGTGATATCAAGAAAGTGAGGAGTCATCTTTTTTTTTTTTAAAGATGACCGGTAAGGGGATCTTAACCCTCGACTTGGTGTTGTCAGCACCTCGCTCTCCCAAGTGAGCAAACCGGCCATCCCTGTACAGGGATCCGAACGCGTGGCCTTGGTGTTATCAGCACCACACTCTCCCAAGTGAGCCATGGGCCAGCCCTTGAAGAGTCATCTTTTTACCTTTTGTTGGACTGGGAACCAGCTGCTTTCTTTCAAAGGGCGAGGCTGCTCTGAGGTCTAAGGGATCTGGGGCAGGGGCTGGGGGATTCTCACTCACCATGTCTTCAGTCTCCTGGGGCAAGGCACTGGCTCTGGCTGGAAAGAAGCAGAGTCAGCCTAGAGCAGTCCCACTGGGGTTATATAGTCCTGCCCCAGGGAGCCCTTAACATACCAAGGTAACCTTAGCCCTGAGGGTGCCCACCCCAGATACCAAAATAGCCCGGCTTACAGCTTCTCCTTTCTTGGAGGGTCACAGCAGCTGAAGCCCAGAGAGGGAGGGAGGAGGGAGTGTATCTTGGGATGCATGTCTCACTAGGACCTGGGCAGGAAGGGATGTACTTTCTCCCAAAAGGGGGCTAGAATCTGCCAGAGTTCAGAAGGGGCCCAAGGCAAGGCACAGTTCTAGGAGAGAGATGAACCAGGCTCCTGTAGCCCTGAGTGGGGTGGGCCCAGATTTTTTTTTTTTTGTCCTTTTTGTGACCGGCCGCACCGTGCTCAGCCAGTGAGCGCATTGCACCGGCCATATCCGAACCCGCGGCGGGACCGCTGCTGCGCTCCCAGCGCCGCACTCTCCCGAGTGCACCACGGGCTCGGCCCGGGTGGGCCCAGATTTAACCCCAGTAAACATTTATTGAGCACCTACAGTCTGCCAAGGACTGGGTTGGGTTTTGTGGGTGCACTTTGGTGAACACAATCTGCCAACCCTCGCACTGTGGAGTTCATAGTCGAGTGTGTGTATGTGTGAGGTGGTGGCAGAGCTTAAAGAGTGACACCTGTGGAAGTTGGAGGATCAGGAAGGTTTTGTACATCCCCTTCAAGGAGAGGGGGAATTTGTGAGGAAAGATGCTTTGTGCTTTAACTCCTGGGCCTTGGTTTCCCCTGTGTAAAATGGAGATGTAATTCCCATCCCACAAAACTGCATAATAATTAATAATTAGGCCCTGCCTTGGTGGAACTTACAGTCTAGCCATAGAAAAAGGAATAAATGCAGAAATGACATACCAGCTGGTCAGGAGCCCAGAAGCAGAGGGCACAGCAGCAGTCTTGTCCTGGACTATGGGAATGGCTTCATGAAGGACAGCAGAAGTGAGTCAGGTAGAAGTGGAGGGGTAGCCATGCTAGGCAGAGGGCACAGTATGGGCAAAGGCCTGGAGAGTGAAAGATCAGAGGTGTTTAAGTTGCCAGAATTGTGATGGGGCTGGCACAGAGAATGCAAGGGGCTGATGACCAGACACTGGAGGGCCTTCAATGCCAGGCTGAAGGCAGGGACCCTGGGGAGCCTTGGAATAATTTGAAGCAGGAGAACCTGTTCTAGTATGAGTCTAGAATCATCTCTCTGAGTGCTGGTGTGGAGGCTGGAGCTCAGAGGAGGGGAGGCAAAGACACCAAGAGGGAAGCTAGCTGGCCAACTCCTCCTAGGTGGCTGGCATGGCCAGTGGTTTCTCTCTTCATTCTGAGCAAGCACCAGCTTGGGTGACTGTGTGACTGTGAGGTACCCTTTCCTACCCCTCTGGGCCTCAATGTCCCAGTCTCCTCCATGCAGCGGACATCTGAAGAAATAGTGGCTGAAGAAGGCTCTGGTTGGCAAGGATGTCCATTTCTTCCTCCTCCTTCTCCCTCCAGGACCTGATGTCCTTAGGAAGGTGCCTCCTCCCTTTTCCCCTCCTCCAGTCTCATGCCAATGCCTCTAAGACATTTTCTTTTCTGGGCACTGGGGCCCAGCCACCTGTTGTCTCTAAGAAGAGAGAAGGAGCCACCCTAAACTTAGCAGCTGCCCTTTGCCTCCTGCACTGGCCTCACCCTGCCTCAGACAGCAGCTGCTTCGCCTTATATGGTTACCCTGGGGGGGTCAGGCCAGGGAGGGGCCCACTTGTTATTGGGTTCTGGGAGGGGCGGAGGACTCCACAAAGAGTAATAATGGGGGAGTGCTCAGGAAGTTAAGGTCAAATGGAAGGTGGGAAAGTTGAAGAGAAGGAGATCAGACACTGAAGGGGAGTTCACAGGATTTGGGTCTGAGGTGGGAGTGAGGAGCCTTAGAGAACTCAGAAAGCAAGGAGGAACTGAGAAGTCTGACTGGAATCACAGGATGGTGGATGCTGTATGGAAATTGGGGCCCTCTAACTCTGGGACTCAGGAGAATGGGGGTCGGAGAGTGAAGGGGGTGTTTAGAAGTGGGAAGGCTGGAGCTCATAAGGTCAGGTTTTTATGTTCATGGTCTAAGGGCAGCCTGGGCAGCTCATGAGATTGGGGACTGGGTTCTTAGCAGAAAACAAGGAGCACAGAGAGATGTGGCAATAAGGGGAGAGGAGCTGATGAGACTGGGGTCGCGTGGGATACTGCAAAGAATAAGAACATGGATATGGGGAGTTCATGGGGAGACTGGGATCCCCAGCAGAGGGATGAGGTCTGAAGAACTGGAGACTGGGTTCTGGGAAGGAGCTCAGATAGATGGGAACTGAGGAGAGAGACTCGGGGCTTGAATTTCCCTCAAGAAATGGGAGATCCAGGGTTGGCGGGTTAGCTCAGTTAGTTAGAGCGCAGCAGTGTAACACCAAGGTCAAGTTTCGGTTCCCGCACTGGCCAGCCGCCAAAAGGAAAAGAAAAAAATAAAATAAAATAAAAAGAAATGGAGATAGGTTTCTTCTGGCTATATAGTCGCCTGGGCTTGGGGTGCTAGGGTTGGTTGGGGGACAGGATTGGAGAATTAGAGACAGAGTGAAGGTCCAGAGTACTGGATCAGGAAACCGGATCTGTGGTGGGGCTCAGGGTCCCATAGAACACCAGAGTGGAGGTGCTCAGGAAATGAATGGAGAATGGGGGCCCAGAAAGGACACAGGAGGGGCAGCGCGGCTCTCTTATTGGCTAATGCCCCCGGCCCCCTCTCCGCGCTGTCCCCAACTGTCACCCTCTAGCGCTTGTCTCCGGTTGTCACCGATATCCCTGAGCTGGCACCGCCTGCTGGCAGCATCCCTGTCCTTTCGACGCTACCATTGGCTGAGACGGCTATCTATCTTCCCCTGTTGCTAAAGTTGGGGAACGTAATCATTGGCCGAGGAAGCAAATTAATCGCAAGTTCGGCCCGCCTCCCCTCAGCTGTCATTCCTTCCTGACCATTTTGAGAGACCTCAAGAATCCCTCCGATCTTCCTACTGACTGCGGTTTCTGTCTGTCACCGCCCAAATAGACATCACCGTCTGTCAATTTGACCTCCGCCTACTTCCCTTTTCACTGGCTCCCTACTTACCATTCCTATGGGCCCGGGGGCCCCAGGCTCCGCCTCTTACTCGCCTTCACCTGCCTCTCTCTCCGCCCTTCCGCGGTCGCTCCCTCTTCCGCCATGCTTATTGGCCAGGAGGTGCAGGCTCACGCTTTTCTATTAGTTCCTTTCTTCGTCCTGCCTCCTCCTGCCCTTGCCCGCTCTCTGATTGGTCTTATAGCCCTCCGTCTTCTCCGTTTCCTCTTTCCAGATTACCCAACCCCCGTTCCCGCCGCCAACCCCGCCCACCCTTCCAATGATTGGCAGAAGCTCAGTTCCCTCTGTCCCATTATTCGTCCAAGTCCTCTGACGAGGCGGGAGAAAAAAGGGGCGCGATGGGACGGCCTGCGCGCAGGCGTGGAATGCCAGAATGCTGGCCGCTTAGCCGGCTCCGCGGCGAGTGCGCAGGCGCAAGGTCGGCGGCTCGCCCCAAGCGGGAGGGAGGGGGCGGTGACGAGAGCCTGCTAGCGGGTGAGAGGGC